CCTTTGTAGCCTTGTGTTTAGCTGACAAGGTAGAGCAGATACAGAGACACTGTGCCACTGCTGCTCTGTGTGTCCACACAAGACTTCTATTGATACAGTCAGTGTTGTTTTGCTTCCATCCACCAGAGGGAGCCTTTGGAACACAGAGTACCAGAGAGGCTCTGAAGCAAGCTCGTGATGGATTATGGGAGATATAGTTCACTGGAAGGACTTGACTATTGCTGCAGATGGGCTGAAAGACTACAATTCCTAACAGCGGGGCATAAAGGGGAGTAGCAGATATAGTTTTCCAGGGCTCTCTTCCTGTGGGGAGAATGGAGCAGTGCATAATACCATCCAGCAGTGTGCATTGAAAGTAGAGGGACACTACCCTTAGGCCTGAGACTGCAACCTAGAATGTTGGAAACCAGCTGTGCAGAGAAGAGACCCAAGTTGAGGATATAACCAGAGAATTCCCCTTGTTGCCAAGCATCTGAATTGTAGGTCGTGCACACCGGACTGGTGAGCGGCCACTGGCTGACTTTACATGACCACTGCTAGCAGAGCGAGACCGACTGTCATTTAGGAACATTGTACCACTGCATGCATAATCCTCAAAGGGATGGTATTTGAAGTGCACCAACACAAGATTTTGGGCCCATACAGAATAGCCAGCAGAAGCTTGAGAGCAAAGAGTCTATTATTTGCTGACTGCTGTCAGGGTGATCACCTGCAGCCCTTTTAACCAACCTGTGGCCCAGGGGCCACATGCGGTCCCTTGGTATTTGAAGTACAGCCCTTGGGCCCGATAAGTCAGTAGTGGAAGCATTGATTATAAATGGGGTCTTTATTTTAGTGATCTCTAACAGTTTCATTTAACATGCCCATAGTCTCTATATGTCTCCTACAGCATGAGTTCAGTCTCAACCAAGTAGAACGATCACTGACCATTTCCTCTAGTAAGTCTTCAGCCCATGACCATTTTCTATAGTATTATATACTGCTCAAAAAAAATTAAAGGAACACTTTGAAAACACATCAGATGGGAAAAATATCATTGTGGATATCTATACTGATATGTACTGGATAATGTGTTAGGAACATAAGGATGTCCCATCGTTTGATGTAAATTAAAATTATCAACCTACAGAGGATTGAATTCAAAGACACCCCAAAAATCAAAGTGAAAAAATGACCAGCAGGCTAGTCCATTTTGCTGAAATGTCATTGCAGCAACTCAAAATGGTACTCAGTAGTTTGTATGGTCCCCTACGTGCTTGTATGCATGCCTGACAATGTCGGGGCATGCTCCTAATGAGATGATGGATGGTGTCCTGGGGTATTTCCTCCCAGATCTGGACCAGGGCATCACTGAGCTTCTGGACAGTCTGAGTTTCAACCTTGCAGTGTCGGATGAACCAAAACATGATATCCCAGAGGTGTTTAAATAGGTTTAGGTCAGGCAAGCGTGGGGGCATTCAGTGGTATCAATTCCTTCATCCTCCAGGAACTGCCTGCATACTCTCGCCACATGAGGCCGGGCATTGTCGTGCACCAGGAGGAACCTAGGATCCACTGCACCAGCGTAGGGTCTGACAATGGATCCAAGGATTTAATTCCGATACCTAATGGCAGTCAGGGTGCCATTGTCTAGCCTGTAGAGGCCTGTGTGTCCCTCCATGGATATGCCTCCCCAGACCATCACTGACCCACCACCAAAACGATCATGCTGAACGATGTTACAGGCAGCATAACATTCTCCATGGCTTCTCCAGACCCTTTCACGTCTGTCACATGTGCTCAGGGTGAACCTGTTCTCATCTGTGAAAAGCACAGGGTGCCAATGGTGGACCTGCCAGTTCTGGTGTTCAATAGCAAATGCCAATTGAGCTCTATGGTGTCGGGCAGTGAGCACAGGACCCACTAGAGGGCATCAGGCCCTCTGTCACCCTTATGAAGTCTGTCTCTGATTGTTTGGTCAGAGACATTAACACCAGTGGCCTGCTGGAGGTCATTTTGTAGGGCTCTGGCAGTGCTCATCCTGTTCCTTCTTGGACAATGGAGCAGATACCGGTCCTGCTGATGGGTTAAGGACCTTCTACAGCCCTGTGCAGCCCTCCTAGAGTAACTGCCTGTCTCCTGGAATCTCCTCCATGATCTTGAGACTGTGCTGGGAGACACAGCAAACCTTCTGGGAATGGCACGTATTGATGTGTCATCCTGGAGGAGTTGGACTGCCTGTGCAACCTCTGTAGGGTCCAGGTATCGCCTCATGCTACCAGTAGTGACACTGACCCTAGCCAAATGGAAAACTAGTGAAAAACAGTCAGAAAAGATGAGTAGGGAAAAAAATGTCAGTGTCCTCCACCTGTAAAACCATTCCCGTTTTGAGGGTTGTCTCATTCTTTCCCATCTAGTGCACCTGTTGTTATTTCATTAATACCAAAGCAGCTGAAACTGATTAACAACCCCCTCTGCTACTTAACTGACCAGATCAATATCCCAGAAGTTTAATTGACTTGATTCTATACTCTGATTAAAAAGTGTTCCTTTAATTTTTAAGAGCAGGGTATATCATAAGATATTTTATGTGGCCCTTAGGACATTAGGGGCCGCATTTGAGGTCCCCTTTATCTTGCAAGTTAACAACCACTGACCTTCAGGCCCCTTTCTCTAGCTAGGGACACCTGTCATCTGTTACAATATACTCTACCTGCAGTCCAACAGTTTGGTGTCAATTTATGATGCCTTTGCATTATTGTGTTTAGGGACACTTATATTTATGTGTGCTTATGTCTGCAGCTATCTCCTGTCCAGTCAGGTGTGTCAGAGGGTACAGACCTGTTTATAGAGTTGTGGCACACAGGACACAATACATTAAGTGATTTTTCTGGGAGTAAGCACTACCCCTAAAAAACTGAAAGACTATCTAACCACCCAGAAAATAATATATTGCAGCTTTCCCGTGTTTAAATATGGTGGCTGCATTTGTTTTCCTTTTTAGCCTTTTCCCCCCTTCTCATCACCTGGCTATCCTGCCAGTGACATTTTCTGTCCTAGGGTGACAATGTTCACTCACTGTACTCTTTTAAGGAGCAGCACTGTCACCTTAAGCTGCTTGCACCTCATTTGGACAACAGAACCCTTTTCCTTCATTCATAAATTACAACTATGTGTAAAATAAATCATTTTTAAACAACATTTTAATCCCTCATTAACTTTTAGTGAACCCTGATTAGTTTCATTAACACCATTATCCCATTCTTCCCTTACCTATTTTTTTAGCATATGTAAAGTTTTAAAATTTTCATTCACTGGTTTTATTAACTCCGAATTTAAAAAAAAGGTTTGTACCAGAAACATAATTCTAGTGTCTTTACAAAAGGGACAAATCACAGAGTACAATTCATACTTTTGATGAGTTTGAAACTATTAGTTCCCATATGGCAGAACAAAGTCTGATTAACATTAGTGGAAACCTGGCTCAGATTCAACATTCTTATTATAAATAAATTACATTGGTTTACCTACTGTACATTGCAATACTTCCCCTATCCAATCCTCCCCAGGACTGTCCCTCTCCCCCCCCCAACAGTAGGGGGAATCATATGGACAGAGCAGGTGATCAGTCTGGCAGGTGAGGGAAATTAGTGGAACTGGTTTTTTGTGGCTCCCCCTGCAGCAGCTGAAAGCCAGATTCTCCTCCACTCCTTCTCCTTCCTGCCGGCTTTCAGCTGCTGCAGGGGGAGCCACAAAAGACCAGTTCCAGCAATTTCCCCCACCTGCCACACTGATCGTCTTCTCACTATCAAATTCCACTCTGTTGCCTCCCCCATCCTCAGTTCTGACAGCTTTCCTCCTCTCCCGCCAGCAGCTGTGGGCACACAGGGGAATGTCCAGGATGGAGAGCGGGATAAAGGGCTAGTAAACATGTCATTTACAGGCCCCTTCCTTTTCTGAATTTACACAATGAGTGATCTGTACCAATAACTCACTGTGTTAATTTATAACTGAAGCATAGTAAAATGTGTTTCAGTTTATGAATGAACAGGAGTCTCTGTACCGACACTTCTATTCATTCATCTGCAGTGCAGCTGAGTCTGCAGAAAGGAAATGGGGAATGTGTCTCCACAGTCCCTTTTTCTGTCTCAAAAGTGAGATTTCAGGGGTCTGTTAAAACTCCTAATATTTCACCAAAGACCCCCCCCCAAGAGTGTTGTAAAAAAATTTTTTATTACATATTTATAAAAATTACTTAAAAAATAATTTAAAAAATTGTAAAACAAAATCAGACTCCATTTCTAGTTATACCAAAAAGCCATGCTCAAGATGTAGCATAATTTAGCAACACTCACTGTTTGCCGTGGCACTCTACGCACGCCATAGATCACTATGTCCCTGGTAGCGGCCCCAGTGCATTACTTTTCTTAGGGGACCATGATGCTATTAAGATGGCACAGATCTCCCCTTTCCTACCCAACAGTAAGTGGCTTCAAACATGCTTGGGGCAGATGCAATGGTCCGCTTGATCTTTTTTCTGATGTCACTCTTCTATGTTTTTATATTTATATATATATATATATATATATATATATAACTCCTATCATTTTATTTTTTGCTATGTGTGCTGGGAAGATTTTTCTTAACTTCCTATCACAGAGATGCAACAAGAAGTGAGAGGAAATCTCTAGAAAGTGCGGGTAATTCCTCCCTTAGACAGCTGTCACTGGAACGGGTGTCTCCAATGGAAGATTTACTCTCACCTCTTAATCTAGTGGCAACTGTAAAACGTAAATTTTCCCATCACTAGTAAAAATGGTTGCTAAGACAAAAATAGAGGGTGAATCTCTGCAGCAGGGACACAGACAAGAATAAAAACGTGACCGTTCTTTCTGCAGATGAAATGCAGTATTGGTGTCTCTGTACCTCTAAAATATCGTTTTTTTCAAGTACTGCCACCTAGTGGATGCTTTTAAAATATTCCTTACAACCTGTCTCAACACAATTAATACACTGATTACCATTTTCGCTGGAATGGGGCGCAGGCTGTGAAGGAAGCGTACTTCTAGGGTGATGATGGTCAAATGCTTCATGCGGGTGAATCATTTCTTCAGAAAAATCACAAATCACATATGGTTCTGAAATGGAATCACCAAAATGATCAAACTATACAGAAGTAACACAGCAATACAGAACGTGTTTCTCCAAGATATATAATGGCGCATTAATTCACCTCAAGTAGACCTTTACTCACCATAATGGATAATATTTACTGGCTTTTCAGACCAATTAAAGAATATATAAACTCAACATTTCATATTCCTGACATGTGCCTGCTGTACCCTGTACTTGTATGAAAAAGTATCCTGTTCACTTTGTATTGTGTTAAATCCCTGGTCTTCCTGCCAGTCCCTCTGCTTTCCTAATAAAAACTGACCACCCTAAGCAGGAGAACACAGCGTGGTCAGTTCTCTAGCTGTGCTGGGAGCTAATCCAATGATCAGGCTTGTGCTGACCCCCCCTGCACAGCAATTCACTTGGAAGATCAGTGTACTGCTATTTCTTCTCCTCTAGCTCTCTGAGCTCCTTATGCAGCTGAGAACAGAGGGATTGGGATCACTTATAAAAAAACGGGAAAAACTGTATTTGTAATGTTTTATATATGTATACATAAATGATTAACCTTTCATTTCTATTTTCAACTGAATTGGTTGATTTACAGCTTGAGGGTTTACATATACTTTAAAGTAGAGGTAAACCCAACCACTAACAGCTCATACACATTTTAATTTTTTTTTTAATTTCAAAAGTAATTTCAATATCTTTAAATATGCAGCTTTTATTAAAACAAATATGTGGGGATTCAGCCATAAAGGTTCTTGATTTGGCCCTTCCTGTGTAGGTTGACAACATACTGTACCTACCTCCCAAATGTAATCCTGCGTTGTCACCCTGTCACACAGGCTTCTGATGGAAACGAGTGGTTGATTTAATATACATTTGCACAAGCATGGTCCACTGTTGTCACCATCACCAAAACTGCCATGAGAAGAGTGAAGCAGCCATCACTGGCGTACATGTAGACAGAAAGAGATTAGAATGGAGGGGGCTGACCGTTCGATCATCTGCCCATCCTCCATTCATAAATAGTGTTTCATCCATATAAGATATGCTTATTTTGTTTTTTTGTAAACTTAGGTTATAACTGGAAGAGCCGTTTAAAGAGACTTTTTTATTTTACCTATTTTAAACAAAGTAACAGGTTTCCTGCACCCACCCACTGATGTAGCCACAAGGTGACTGAAAGAGATCAGCAGCATGGAGATGCAACAAAAAGACCAAAAAAAGGTGAAAACATTATTTGTCTAAAACAAAATGTCAGTTGTTTATTACACAGAGTGCTTTAGCAAGCTAATGTTATCCCATTAGCGTTTACATTTACAATCAAGCTAAAGTCCAGCTTAATAAACAGATGGAATGCATAGATGGAAGTTGCTTTACCTGCTAAGTGACACCTGACATTTACACAACTCTGCCACACAAAACAGCTGTGTCTCGGAGGGAAGGGGACCTCATATTTGTCTGCTGCAATTTCACTTTCACTTACAGGTCTCCTCCCCACCCTGTGTCCAGACCCTGATAGATAAGCTCATCTCTCTGTCATTGTACTCTCTCCTCCTATCAACACGCTTTTTGTACTGCAGCACACCTAATTGGCTTCTTGTGCTCTTTCCCCCACTAACTTATTGAGCTCTGCTGTACAGATTATACAAGCAGGGCTGCTGTTAGAAACCATGGGGCCCCATACAGCCAACCTGACAGGCTCCCCTCTCCAAAAAAACCCTCCCCACAGTTTAGTAGGGTTCAGTTATGAATGAACACAGTGAGTGATTGGTACCAATCACTCAGTGTGTTCATTCAGGAAAGAAAGGGGCTGGTAAATGTGACATATTTACCAGACCCCCCCCCCCCCCCATTCTCCATCCCAAAGAATCCTATTGTGTGCTGGCAGCTGCCGGTGGGAAAGAGTGGAGGGAAGCCATCAGCACTGCAGGAATGGGGGCACACAGGGGAGCCAAGGCAGTAGGGGGAAATGTATGGTGCACAGGGAGGGTGATGGGTGGGGGGCGAGGGACAATTACTGGAACCAATCCCCTATATGGCTCTCTCTGCAGCAGCTGAAAACCAGCGGGAGGGAGAGGAGAAAAAGACAGCTTTCAGCTGCTGCAGAGAGAGCCATACAGGGGATTGGTTCCAGTAATTGACCCTGCACTGTGCCAATTACCCTCCCTGCCCATGTCTGAATCACCCTCCTGCTGGCCTGGGCCCAGTGCAGGAGGACTGGTGGTACCCCCTTATTCACGGCCCTGTGTACAAGGCTGGTATCAAGTCAAATTCAGGTACTTACATTGCTTACAATAAAAAATACACTTAATGATGTAATAAAAGTAACAGAGTTGCATTAGTGTGTCACATATTTGCTGAATTTCAGCTATAAATACTCTAATGATTATTTAAATATATATTTTGCAGGAAAGGGATTGCATCATTTGGTGGAGCTCAACACGCAAAGGGAAAACCAAAGTCTTACACGCCCAACACCACCCAGGATTTGCAGTTTAGTCATTTATTCCATCATTAAAGGAGAACCTGAATCCTTCAGTGTGTTCTGGAAGCTCAGCTCAGGCAAACAGAGAAAGGCACATTTCAGATACTGCATACTGTGTTTGGGGATTGTCCTCCTTTTCACAAAATACATGAATCCCTTCACCCATTCTTGGGATCCAGACTCTTCTGCCACTTTTCTCCTTTGCAGTAAACTGGTACATCTTGCCAGCCCACCAACCTCCAACTGGCTGTTTTATCCATGAAGATGTATGACTGCGCTGATGAGGTTATCGCTGTGCCCACTTTGAACGTTTTTTTCCCATCAGGCAGAATCCAATGTTAGTGTTGCAGCTCTCTGAATACAGATTGGCACTGTGCTGCCCCCCCCCCCCCCCAGCTCTCAATCTGGGAAGCTAATATAAAGATTTACATATTTATATTAGCTCTAATAAAAACTACACAGATTGGTTAAATTCAGTTCTAGTGTAAAGCTAAATACACAGATAAAAACATACACTATATTGCCAAAGTATTGGGATGCCTGCCTTTACACGCACATGAACCTTAATGGCCTCCCAGTCTTAGTCCGTAGGGTTTAATATTGAGTTGGCCCACCCTTTACAGCTATAACAGCTTCAACTATTCTGGGAAGGCTGTCCACAAGGTTTAGGAGTGTGTCTATGGGAAAGTTTGACCATTCTTCCAGAAGAACATTTGTGAGGTCAGGTACTGATGTCAGACGAGAAGGCCTGGCTCGCAGTCTCCACTCTAATTCATCCCAAAGGTGAGGCTGCACTGTCTTTATGGACCTTGCTTTGTGCACTGGTGTGCAGTCATGTTGGAACAGGAAGGGGCCATCCCCAAACTCTTCCCACAAAGCTGGAGCATGAAATTGTCCAAAATGTCTTGGTATGCTGATGCCTTAAGAGTTCCCTTCACTGGAACTAAGGGGCCAATCCCTGAAAAACAACCCCACACCATAATCCCTCCACCAAACTTTACACTTGCACAATGCAGTCAGGCAAGTACCGTTCTCCTGGCAACTGCTACACCCAGACACATCCATTGGATTGCCAGATAGAGAAGTGCAATTGGTCACGCCAGAGAACACATCTCCACTGCTCTAGAGTCCAGTTGTGGCGTGCTTTACACCACTTCATCCGACGCTTTGCATTGCACTTGGTGATGTAAGGCTTGGATGCAGCTGCTCGGCCATGGAGACCCATTCCATGAAGCTCTCTATGCTCTGTTGTTGTGCTAATCTGAAGACCACATGAAGTTTTGAGGTCTTTAGCTATTGACTCTGCAGACAGTTGGTGACTTATGCGGACTGTGCGCTTCAGCATGCCCTGACCCCGCTCTTTAATTTTATGTGGCCTACCACTTCATGGCTGAGTTGCTGTTGTTCCCAGTTGCTTCCACTTTGTTATAATACCACTAACAGTTGACTGTGGAATATTTAATAGCAAGCAAATTTCACGGATGGACTTATTGCACAGGTGACAACCTATCACAGTACTATGCATGAATTCACTGAGCTCCTGAGAGTGACCCATTCTTTCACAAATGTTTGTAGAAGCAGTCTGCATGCTTAGGGGCTTGATTTTATACACCTGTGGCCATGGAGGTGATTGGAACACCTGAATCCAATGATTTGGAGGGGGTGTTTCAATGCTTTTGGCAATATAGTGTATATGGAAACTGTTCAACCTGCCAAAGCATTTGTTTTTCTGTTCATACATTTTCAAGATTTACACAGCTCTGCCAAACAGTACAGACCTGACTTTGCTATAGTTAACCACTTCAATACCGGACACTTTCACTTCTGCTGTCACACTTTGAATGACAATTGATTTCTTTTAGACAGATAAAGCTTTCTTTTGGTGATATTTAATCACCAATATTTTTTTTTAATTTTTTGCTGAATAAAAGGAAAAAGACTGTAAATTACAAAAAAAAAATGTCTTAGTAATTTTTTTCACTGTTCACTGTTGTGCATTGATGAGGCTGCACTGATGGACACTGATGAGGCTACATTGATGTGCACCGATGAAGTGGGACTGATGGGCACTGATGAGGCTGCACTGATGTGCACCGATGAGACGGCACTGATGGGCACTGATGAGGTGGCATTGATCACAACTGATAAGCTGCACTAATGGGCACTGATAAGGCTGCACTGATGTGCGCTGATGAGGCTTCACTGATGAGGCAGCATTGATGGGCACTGATGAGGCTGCACTGACGAGGTGGTACTGATGGGCACTGATAAGCTACACTGATGGTCACGGATGAGGCTGCACTGATGATCAGAGCACCGTGTACAACTGTAAAAAACTGTACTTACTGCTCCTCTAACAGATCCAGCTCTCCTTCCCTCACACACCATGGTCTCTGTGTGAGGGAAGGAGAGCAGGCAAAGTCCTGTTATGTTTACATCTGTGGATGCTTGATCATGGCCTTTTACCTCAATCTGTGATCCCTTGTTTCCAAGGCACACAACGGTCACAGCTAGTTCCCAATGCACACTCCAGGGAGAGTTCCCAATGCGCGGGAAGCGTGCAGATGGGAAGGCATCCAGGGACACTCTCACAGAACTAGGGAATTGCCATGAGGCCGTATATCGAATATAGCACGGGTGGGAAGTGGATAAGTTACACTTACAGGTCTTGTTCCCCTTCCCCCAGCCTGGACAGTGAAAGAGAAGCAGCACACTGAGGAGCTCATTTTTCTGTCACTCTGTTTTCTCATACTATCAGCATGCTCCTTGTACTACAGCCCAATTGATTAATTCCTCGTGGTGTTTCTTTCTCTCAAATTCTGATCTCTGCTGTAGTGGGACTGCAAGAGATTGATAAGCAGTCAAATTTAAGTACTTACACTGCTTATATTTAATAAAACACTTATAATGGTGTATTGAAGAAAATATAGGGCCACCGATCTTTTGGCTGTGCTTCTCCTGTAGGTCACAGGAGGGCAGTTCGTTCTGCACTCCTGTGACCTGTATTCAGCCGACAACAGGCTAGTCCGCTGAGAGGCTGAGTCAGCCGTTCCCACCCCCTCCACAGCCTGACACTTCAGTGAGCACTGGAGGAGCACAGCAGAGAACTGGTGACCAACATTCATGGCTCTCTGCTCAGAGCGGAGGGGAGAACTGAGCGATCAGTGGCGTTTGATTGCTCAGTTCTCCCTGCATTACCAGTAGGTCGGTTTGATGCTGAGTCCACCTAGGTGAGTATAAATGTTTGTTTTTATGAAAGTCCATACTTCTCTTTTAATGAATAACAGATCTGCATTCATTAATGTCTTTTAAATCTGCCTGGAGTTCAGCTTTAAAGCATTCCCTTGGTTTCAAAATATGTGTAAAGGGGGCAGTTGTGATGGGATGTGGATCCCACGGCATACACCTTATTCTTATGACTCAGAGAACCCTGGGATCCCTTTCTGTATGTTAGAACTTGCATAGGACTAAACGACCACCCTTTATGACAGCGCTCTTGTGATTGGCAGGTCTGATAATTCACCTTAGAATTACAGAAATCAGGGGGCAGTACCAAGTGGTCCCCCGTACCCAGAAAAACTTTTTTTGGTTTCTGGAGCTCTAGCATGGAAACAGCTCTTCTAGCCCCTAAAGGGCCCATTTACAGCATTTAGAAATGTAATGCGCGTGTTACCCAAACATGCAGCAACATACGTGAAGTGTGCTGATGCAGTGCAGTTCTGCTCATTCTGAATGACACCCCAACAGACCTAGCAAGGGAATGTGCAATGCCAAAACACAGTGCTTTCCAAAAGATAGTGCACACAACATGTTTTGGTAGTGCACCACAACACACTGCACTTTGGTGCATTGCCACACACTGCACAGCAATATGCGTCCTTTGGCCAATGCATGGGGTGCCATTAAAAATGAATAAAAATACAACTGCAACCCAAACCTTTTTCTTTAATAGCTTTCGATAGAGTAGGAGTTTTTTTACTCTGTGTATTTGTCCTAATGGCCAGAGTAATGGAAATCCCAAATGTTGAGTTGTCATTCGACCAGGAACCTACAGGGCAGGATGTAATGGAAAATGTCCCCAATAAGACACAGATGACAAAAAAACTCACAGGGGTTTTAACTCTTCCCTACTCTATATATTAAAAAAGTTTGTCTTTAGATATATTTAAAATACTCTGCACTGAATAGAGATTTCCTTTAAGACCTAAAACTAAACATTAACATCTAAAGCTTAAAAACAAATATGATATATTGCAACTTTCCAGTCCATGTAGTGGCTGCATTAGTTTTTGCCTGGTTATCCTGCCAGCAACATATTTCTTGTCCTAGCGTGACAACATTCACTCACTGTATTTTATCAGGACAACAGAAACAAAATAGGACTACAGAACCCTGTCCCCCTCCTATGCTACAAAACATGGTTCTGTAGTCTTCAGAGGTGACTGGGAACAATGTAATTGATAACAGCACAGAGTACACAAGATTAGTGGCAAAACCAAAATTTCTTTTAAACATATATACCCATGCTAGGTGACTCCATCAGCTTTATGTAACACAATTTGTGCTTAAATTATAATGCTCACAACATACAACACTCCTAAATCCAAAAATATAAGTCATATATAAAAATAAAGAAAGTGCATTATCCACAACACACCATAAATGTCCATTAAAGTACAATAATTTAAGTGTCCATTCAAGTGCAACTTTTGAGTGTCCTCTTTGGTATAATGTTTTCCTCACTATATCCACTTGGGGGGAAAAGTACATATAGACCTATTCTAATATGGGGGGGTCATCTGTTGAGGTCTCCAGTGTGGTGGTGGCACACAGTGGTGGAATGAAGCACTGAAGAATCACTGATTCTAAAGAATTGTTATGGTTGAATTTATATGCTTGCTTTGCACAGTTTGCATGGATCACCTTATATAGTGAAGAAAGCATATTATATGAAAGAGGACATTCGAAAGTTGCACTTAAATGGACACTTAAATTATTGCACTTCAATAGACATTTATATTGTGTTGTGGATATATATACTGTATATACAGCCATGGCCAAAAATATTGGCACCACTGCATTTCTGTCAGATAATTCACCACTTTGCCCAGAAAATTCTCGCAATTACAAATGTTTTGGCATTCTCATGTTTATTTCTTTTGTTTGTATTGGTATGACACAAAAAGTGGAGAAACAAAAGGCCAAATCTAACACATTCCACGGAAACCCCCAAAAATGGACAAAATTATTGGCACCTTTCAAAATTGTAAGAAATAATTGCATTCCAAGTTTGCGATGCTCCTGTAATTTGTAATTAAACTCACCTGTATCAATTAACTGATCTTAATGTTCCTGTGTCCAATGTGTGCAACACTGACAAGGAATTTACAGCCCATGGCACTATAGCTAATCTCCCTGGACATGGATGAAAGAAAAAAACTTGATCAAAGATTGCAACAAAGGATTGTTTGAATGGTGGCTAAAGAACCTCGATCAACTTCCAGACAAATTCAAGCTGACCTTCAGGCACAGGGTACAACTGTATCAGTTTGCACTATACATCGCGATCTGAATGATAAGGAATGCTATGGTAGGAGACTCAGGAGGACCCCACTGCTCACACAGAAACATAAGTTGGCCGAAACTTTCCTGAGGAAGCCAAAATCCTTTTGGGAGAATGTGCTGTGGGTAGGCAAAACAAAATTACAGCTTTTTGGTAAAGCCCAGTCTTACAGCAGGACAATGACCCAAAGCACACATCAAAAAGCACCCAGAAATGGTTTCAGACTGCACTAGAGAGTACTGAACTGGCCAGCAATGAGTCCAGATCTCAGTCACATAGAGCTCCTGTTGAGAGATCTCAAAACAGCACTTGAGAAAAGGAATTCTTTCAATCCAAGAGACCTGGAGCAGTCGGCCAAAGAAGAGTGGTCCAAAATTCCAGTAGAGAGGTGGAAGAAACTCATCGATGGTTACAGGAAGCAATTGATTTCAGTTATGTTTTTCCAAGGGGTGTTCTACCAGATATTAAATTTATGGTGCCAAAAATTTTGTCCAGTCCATTTTTGGGGTTTTGCGTGGAGTATGGCAGATTTGGCCTTTTGTTCCTCCACTTTTTTATGTCATACCAATACAAACAAAAGAAATAAACATGAGAATGCCTAAACATTTGTAATTGCAGCAATTATCTGGGTGAAGTGGTGCATTATCTGACAGAAATGTACCAGGGGTGCCAATATTTTTGTCCATCACTTTTATATATAAATATATATATATATATATATATATATATATATATATATATATATATATATTGTATTTTTTTGTTTGTTATGCGAGTTGAAGACAAAGATGTGTACCTGTGCTCAGAGGCTTTGCTTCAGTGGTAGTCTCATCGATGGGAGTAGTGAAGGGTGGGGTTGTAGTTTTAACAGCTGGTGCTGCAGTAGATCCTGCCGGTGTTGGCTGTGGAGTTGTAGTTCTTTCGGCTGTAGGTACTGTGCTAGTTTCTATAGTTTCCTTATCTGTAGGTACTATTATGGTGGTTCTGGCAGGTGTAGGTGGGGGTGTATAAATTATTTCAGGTGTAGGTAGCAGAGTCATAGCTTTTACAGTTGTAGCTGGCGGTGTGGTGGCCTTCGCAGTTTTAGGTGGTGGAGTAGTTTTCCTGACAGGTGGGCGAGTCGTTTTGGGCGTTGTCCTCCTTGCTGTTGTCGGTGGAGTCGTTGTCGGTGGAGTCGTTGTTGGAGCTGGATAGGTAACAGCATGCTAAATTAGTAAGAAAAGCTACACGGATTTTAAGTATTTAAGTCTAATGTTCATACATTATAGAAGATTTTGCAGGGTAATGAAAGTACAATAGACACATTAGTATAATTTCTTCGACATGCAATTTCCAAAAGTGGCATTTCAATTGACACAAGGGGACAGAACTCGTCCTATTTAAAGGAGAACTACAGGCATACACATTGTTATAGATGTTCTTTATTGCTATATAGGTTTTTAGTTAAAGTTGAACTTTAGGCAGATATAAAAGAAATATATTATTGCAGCTCTGAATCCATTAATACATCTAATACTTTTCTTTTCCAATATAAGTAGTGTAGATACCGGAACTTGAATGGTATCAGCCTCCTTCAGTCTCTGCACAGCAAAGCCCAGACTTGGAGAGGGAGAAACAACACAAGTAGTCAATCAGTTACACAGCAGTGCAAAGAGCATGCTGATACGAGGAGAGAGCAGAACACATCACTCTGCTGCTTTTTCTTTCACTGTCTAGTCACAGGTTGGGGGAGGGACAAGACCTATAAGGGTACCTTAACATCACCAGAAAAATAATCAGGTCTCCTACCCTGCCAGACCAGGCTGTGCTGTGTTACAAAGATGTGTATATCTCAGCACCAAAATGGGCAGAAATACAAATCTTTGGGCAGGTAAAACAGCTCCGTTATGTGTATTTAGCTGTTTGCCCAGAGTTCATATTTAAAAACAATTAGCAAAAATATATTGCCAGTGAGGGGCACTTCCATTTATAGGGTGACAACGCTAATTTCCTGCAGTATAATCACTGCAGCATTGTCACCTTGTTCTGCTGTTGTAGAGATTAGGATTACAGCATCATATGCCTTTTTTAGATTCAAATGTTGTCACCTCTGATGAAGACTATGAGACAACCCAACACATTATGGGTGACTTATGGTGCCCCCTCCCACTCTCCTTTACGGCTGTAAGTAGGGAATCAGGACACAGTACTAGTTTGCTTAAATATATGCACTGGATTGCATGCATGGCTAGATGCAAATTTAAGTCTCAGGAAAAGCTCAGAACTGCTTACACATGGTCTTTTGACTGTCTTTTAAATAAGATAGACCCTTTCTTTTTATGGATAAATACACCAGATCTCCCCTTCCCCTTCACTAAAAATCATGCCAGCATGCAGCTCAGCATGCTGATATGAAATCACTTTACATTGATTAGTTAAAACAGTAAAATCAGTCTGTATATGCAGTAAAGCATGCTTGTTATACTCACTGTGGAACCTAAGGGGTTAATCCTCTGCATTGTGTAAAATGGCCTTTGATCCTGTTTTATCTGCCCCTCCTCTTTTCAAATGTTCACATCTTATCTCCTGATAAGACAGACTTAACCCATAGCCACATGCTCAGTTTAGTGTGTATTGCTAGAGAGGTTTTTTTTTTTTCTTTGCAGAGTGCATGTGATCAGCACAGGGCCAATCAGCACTGTCCAGACAGAGGGTCAGAGGTTTCACATCCTCCTAGAGCAGAAAGAAAACTCCTCCTACAAGCTTTAACCAGTGCTCTGCTGACGTCACAAGACTGCTCTAACTGCTGCTGATAAAAGGTATTTAGCAGTTTATATTTACTAAAATAATTGCATTTCCATGTTCTGTGCACTGTGTGAGATCAGATAGAGTGAATGCAGGGTCCTGGGTTTAGTAACACTGTAAGCAAACAAGTTTTGGTTTTAAGTACAGTTACTATTTTTCCACTTCCTGGTTAAGTGAGGTACTGGTAATGTAACCTGGATCTCACAGATGCATCCTGGTAAGGCTACATCACCAGTGCCTTTTCCCTCAGATGATGTGCGCTGTCACATTTCCCAGAAGGCAAACCCAGAATTCTAGGCAGAGTTTAAAGAAGTAAACCAAATGGACTAATCTGTTCTTAGTGAAAATAGCCACCATAGGTAGAACAGGGAAGAATCGAAAAATAAGGCCTGCAATTATCTATCATTTATTTATTTGTAGATTGCTATTACTAAACATTTCTAAAGGATTCTGTGTTGTAATGTTTAATATAGGGGTGAAGTTCCTTTTTTGTAATTCTTTATTTATGTAAGTTTTTAACAAAGCAAGGAGAACCAAACAGAAGGTTCACCAAAATGCAAAAAAAAAAGAGAAGCAGTATACAAACGTCATTGTACAAAAATTAGCCAAAGGCATGGTGCATAGATACTAGAAATTGAGAGCAAACAATCAGGTTACAGGAAGGGGAAGGTCTGCTCCATGACCATGGCAATACAACTACTGTAGCCAAATGTTACACCAGTCATCGAAGAGATAATGTGACAATAGACTGAGAGTACAAATATCAATGATAGTAACAACAAGGGCAATGAGACAAAGAGATAAAATATAAACAACAAAACGAGTAGGCCCAGCCGGGAACGGGAAAAGGGTCGGGGACTGAGTGTAAGGGATATATAAAGAAATGAGCGGACAAAGAGGGTCATTAGAAGATCATAACAAATAGGAGCAGAGCTAGACAAGATGGGGAAAAAAACAACAGAAAAAGAACGGTAAGCAAGCCAGTAAAAATAGTGAGAAAAGATATAAAGAATACAGAAGAATGAGCAATGAAGCCCTGTCCCTCCTGGGGCGATTAAGTCAGGTCAGTGGTAGGGAGAGTACTCAGGGAACTCGGGTGGAGGCATTCAGGTATGCGACCGTAAACACGTTCTAATCCAGGGTCCCCCGGGTCCCGATCATGTGACCCGGGACGCCTGATTCCAGGTCACATGATCTTGTGATAGTCTCTGATTGGTTAACACAGTGATCAGTCACTGTACAGCCCAGCCCATTGGTTTTTTTTTTCTCTCTATGAATGGAGGAGAGAGATATATTGTATCTCTCTAACTCCTGGCATAGAGGGAAAGATATGTTTGCTAAAATAAATAAATATTAAAAAATAAAATAAAAAATACCTAGATCAAGGTTTGAATTAGTTCAGTGCCAGGGTAAGTGTTCAGGTCAAGGCCAAAAGGTCAGGATCAAAGGTCAGGATTTTAAAAAACATTGGTATCAGTGTCAGTTAGTGTCAGTGTGTTTTAGGTAAACAAAAAAACAAAATGCACACTATTGTTTCTGGGCTGTACTACGGGTACAAACAACAAATAACATACACATATATGGTATCGCTGCAATCGTCAAGAGCTGGAAAATTTATTTTGGGTTGTCCTTTGGTGGTAGGTTATGGTAGTAAAAGGAAACAAACAAGTATATTTTAAAAAATGATTTTTTTTTTACTATTTTGGACCAGTTTTCCTTTGATAATAAAAAAAAATCAGGAGATATCCATTACCATTTACCACCAAATGAAAGCCCAATTTGTCCTGAAAAAAACAATGTATAACTCACCTGGATGTACAAAGTAGTTGTGATGATATGTACGGTTTTACTAACACATGTCAACGTTGCAAAATTGTGTTTAGGGATTAAGATTTGTTTTACCCTTAGGCGTGAAGGGGTTAAATAAATGAATAAAAGTACATTAAATAAATATACAAAAAACCCATTGAGTATATTTTTTCAAATTGGCCAATTTTCCAAGTATTATAATGTAACCGAAAATGGTATTAACTTGTACAAAAATTCTCAAACGACAAAGGCAAACGTTCTTGTGTATGATTTCTATGTTTGTTGCCACCTTCTTCCAGTTAATTTCTTGCTTCTGATCATGCGCATTTTTCTCTATTCAATTATGTCAATTACAATTACTGTACACATTCAGCAAACATCGGACGTTGTGTTCATGTACGATAACAATTTTCTAGCTTGCACCTTTGGTTTTTTTTTTTTGTCTGAACAGTTGGAATCGGCTGTCGAAAGCCGTATACTAATGATCAGATAATTGACTGATCAATCCTTGTACAGAATGTTTCTTCCAATTTACTTATAGTGTGTACCTAGCTCTAGAAAGTTTTATCGTACGTGAACACAACATACGATTTTCACTCAATGTTTACAGTAATCATATGGAAATAATCGAATAGAGAAAAAAACTCCCATGATCAGAGCAAAGAAAGAACTGAAAGAAGGTGGCAACAAATATAGAAATCATACACAAGAGAAAAACGTTTGCCTTTGTCGTTCCAGACTTTTCATAAAAGTTAAAACCATTGTCAGTGACATCATGATACACACCTTTGTGGAAAATCGGATGACCGTTCATCAGATTTTCTCATAGTGTGTACCCAACTTTAGAGCCTCTGTCAGGTTTCAAGCTCATTATTTGCCCTGATGACCATTGTTTTTTGATACAGAAAATGATGGGAAATCCAAGATTTTATAGTTGTCACAGAAATTGGAAGTGAGGGAAATGTTTTCATTGGATAAGCTGTCTAAATGGTATAACTTCTAGCTCTGGAGAGATTTGTTCCTGCATCTCTGGGACATCTGGAGCATCTGGGGCATCTCTGATTGTATGTCTGTATCCAAAACTAAAAGAAATGTTTTGGTTTTACATCTAGTTAAAGAGGGACCTGATTTGTGATCTGCTTGAACAGCATCATGGGGTCTGATCTGAGTTGTGACAAAACATTCCACATCTATCTGGGCACCTGAACATGCTCTCATATTAAAAGACCAACATATGTGAATTGATGTGTGCCATCTTACAGGACTGATGTAGGAGGGTGGAATTTTACCCTTGTCTAATTACCAGGGTTAGAGCTGACATGTTATCTGTAAAAAATATCTATTTTATCTATTGATATGTATATTTTATCAATCAATAACAAAGGCAAAATGCCCCATTATTACTAGCCAGGCAATGGGTGCACTGGATCCACCCATGGGTATAATAGTATGCTAAACATCAGAAACCTTATGTTATGAACTAACAGGCTTATTCAATAAGGCAGTGTAAAGAGTTTGCATGTGCAAAATGCAGTAACTTGTGAAAACAAATTAAATTATATTTACAAGGTGATTTCTTAGATACTTGTAAATATGATTTTTTATGCAGGACAGTCCCCCATTTTAAAAGTTGTCCCCTTCACTTCTTGCAGCTTGCCCCTCCAGGCAGGGTGCAGCATATGTTGCCAAGACAGGCAGCATGTGAAATTTCCTGCCATTTTATCCCCACCAGATAAATGTCCTCCCAATTTTTCTGATTACTGCTTTTTGCATATAGTCACTTCACTTTGAACTGCCTTATTGAAAAAAATCATTAAGATCAAGCTCATCTGCTAAGGCTTTAGTCTTTCCCCTGGCACCTTTTTCCATGTCCAGTTGGATGCTTTTCTTCTCATCATTGAACCACCCATGATGCTCTATACGACAGCAGTACATCCCGGCGTCACTCATTCTTGCTTGGCTAATAGTTAGTGAGATCTGGCCCCTTGCAATGTTGTCATTGAGATGGTAGCGGTCTGATGACCTATGTGTGACTTGGTATCCGTCAGTCCAAATAAGAACATCATTGCACTTGGATTTGGGGCAGCTTCCCTGTCCCCAGCACATGGAGGTGATGTCGCTGACTTTTCGGACCTTATAGGAACAAGGCAGAGTGATAGTCTGGCCTTCTATCCCTCTCACAATCTCGCCACATGTCAGAGGAATTGCTGAAAAAGAGGGATTACAGAAGATTTATTAGAAATGTATAAATTACACAATGTTGTGATTTTTACTGCCTTGCATGATTTGAACATGATAATGATGGTGCCGGAACTGCTAGCTGTCAGCAACAACCGCAATTCAGTGCTCAGCCCAAAAATACAAAAACTCAGCTCCTGACCTTACCATCCTGCTATAGAGTGCACTATATCAGTGTTTCTCAATCTTTTTTCAATCAAGGCACCCTTTAAAATTATGGACAGTCCTGAGGCACCCTTTAAAAATATGGACAGTCTTGAGTCACCCCATTTTAGAATGGGGTGCCTCAAGACTGTCCATAATTTTAAAGGGTGCCTCGGGACTATCCATAATTTAAAAGGGCACCCCATTCTGCAATGTGAAAAACTTTTCTAATAGTTTTATATAACGCAGCAACATCCACACATGTAGGACATCCAATGTTAGGCAATCTATTCTTCCAGAGCAAACATTCTTTTGCACACTGGTACTGACTAGTATTCCAGTGTTTCTCTTCTCCCTCAGTTTTTCTCCATCACTGAGTTTCTGTGACCCCAGCACTGATAGAGAGGGGCAGGGAAGAGTCAAACTAGGATGCTGTGCCGGCAGCTGACATCCTCCTTATCAACTGATGGTTTCATTGGTTGTCATGACACCGGCGGCTAGAAGGTCGTAAATGGTGCGCAATGAAAATTTGCGACTTTGTGTAACTAAAAAGCAGGCTTGTTCCACCTGCAGGCTTGTATAGATGTTTTAGGCAATTTTTAGACATTTTTCCAAGGCACACCTGAAGAAACCTCAAGGCACCTCTGGGTGCCTGGGCACCCTGGTTGAGAAAGGCTGCACTATACTATACGTAAGGTTCAAGTCAGACTAATGATCCTGCTGCAGATGGCAACCTGCCAGGAACAAGATGTCCAGGAGATACAGGAACCAATCACTTGGTTTTTTATGGCATTGTTCTCTTTCTGGCTGCAGCGGTTAGGTATCACTTCTCCAATGCAACCTTGTTGGCCATTAAGATTTTACAGAGTTTCAGCCATTTAATCGGTAATTCTGATTAGTGATTCTGTTGTCACCAGTGACAGGATTGTAAGTTTGACTTGGACAAATAGCCCTCTCTAGCGCACAATGATTTTAGACTGTGAATACCACAATAGTTTACCTCCAAACCAATCAGAAACTCTGCTTACATGATGCACAGCAAGAAAAAACTCCCTTTTTTCACATTATACAAAGTATATAAGGAAGATGTCCTGGCATACAGAATCCTCTACAAATATACTTCATTAATGATCTGGGTGGCTCAAAAATTTATATCTATGGCACATCTAGCTATGCTTCTACACTCTGCTTTCATAGGAAATCTTTGTGATGCCCCAACCCCACATTAACCTCTATGTCCCACTGGACAACTTGGTGTTTAGATGACTGACATTACCCCCCCCCCCCCTTCCCTGACCTAATACATCCCACGCTCTGACTCCAAAGATACATACTTAAGCCCCTTACACATAATGAAAAATATTGGACGAATTATCATCTGTTTTTTTTTCCATGCTAGTGTCATATAGGTATTGAAAAGCTTACTAAAGTTAAGAAAATTCTTGTAGGACAGAATACAAATTCAGAAGTGATGTCATGTATTGTATTTGTATTGTATTTTCGGACAAAAACTGTACTGATTAAATGAAAATTGTACAATTTGGTATCGTACGAGAAACATTTTCATGCTTGTCCCGTCAAATGATTTTGGATGAAACCTATGTACTAACAATCAGATTATCATACGATCAGCTCAAAAGCGGTATATTTTGTGCAATTTTCTGATTGTGTGTACTAGGCTTGATTGAGATTTGACAGCCATGGCTCCTTGTTACATTTCTTGACATTTAGCACTGCAAGTCCTCTCTATTCTGACCGTGCCTCTGCAGCAGTGATCCATAGAAGTCTGTACGGCTCATTTCTCTGCGTCTTCCAGCTGGGTGATGGAGGAAGACAAGCCCTATAAATGCTCATGGAGCTCTACTTCTCTTGAGCAACCAGGAGATTGAAAACTTGGGGGTTTGGATTTAAACAAGGCCTGGAGGCTGTCGAATCTCAATAAATATGTTCTTGTAGAGTGGGAGCGCAGGATCTCTTAGGTCAGGGAATGGGAGCCAAAAGAATTAGTTCACTTTGTAAAAAAAGTGCACTTATTCCTCAAGCAAATAACTAATGGAGGTCCAAAGCTGTTATAGTTTCCCCTTAAAGTATAAGCAAAATTGCTCACTAAAATTGCAGATAAGCTTTCACACCTTAAAGCCCAACTCCAGACACATCAATTTTTATGTTTTTGTACTTTACCCTACTCATAAAAACTTTCATTTTTTATTACCTTAGGCAGTCTCTCACCTCCACTGAGTGATTCTGACATGTATAGAGGGGAGCCACACTTCCAGCTCCCTATTGCATCAAAACCGGGTCTATGATCAAAGCCAGTCTTGTGCCTCTGCCCTCTTCCTCTGCTGTGCCATTTACAAAGCACAACCCCTATGATGACATTGCTGTGATTTGTGAGAGACACAGGAGGAGGCAGAGACACAACACCAGAACTGATGTGGATTGTAGACTCCATTCTGATATAATGGGAAGCCAATAATGCGTCTTCCCGCTGTATATATCAGAATCGCTCAGCAATTAGTGATGTCACAAAGGCAATGGGGGAGATTTAAAGAAAATTAAAAAAAAAGAAACAATATTTTTTACTTTTTTCTGTAAAACATAGCCAATACAAAAATATAAACTTTCTTCATAAATTTAGGCCAAAATGTATTCTGCTACGTGTCTTTGGTAAAAAAAAAAATCTCAATTGTATATTAATTGGTTTCCGTGGAAATTATAGCATCTACAAACAATGGTATAGATACTGGAAATTGTTTTCTATACTAGTAATGGTGGCAATCAGCAGGACTATAATAGTACAGCAGGATTTCTGACACTGACACTGGGTGGGAGCTGACTACCTGCCGCTGACATCTCCAGTGACACTCATACAGTGATCGGTGCTAATAAAAAGCACTGTCACTGTACTAATGACACTGGGCAGGAAGGGGTTGACATCTGGAGTGATCAAATGGTTAACTGTGTGCCAGGCAGTGTTATTATGTGTGGTGTTTTACTAGGGGATGTGCTGGTTTTTATTTCCCTGCTTTGCAGGGAGATAAAAGCCAGCACATCCCCGCTGACAGGAGAGAGATTTGTGTTGTTTACATTCACAGATCTCTCTCCTTTCAGTTGCTCCGCTGATTGCCAGGTCCCGGCCATGAATTACTGTCCGGAACACGGTGATTGAAATGTAAGTGAGCACGTGCACGCCCCCTGCCCAGAAATGCAGAATCTGTGATTCTGCACAGAGTGGCCACCATGTAGCAGTAAAGCTGCTATAGGGCGGTCGGCAAATGGTTAAGCTTTGGCAACCTAGAAGCTGATTGGTTTCTAGGAAGAGCTGCAACAGATTTGCACTCTCAGTTTTTAGCAAATAACCCCCAATATGTTTCAGAGACTCAACACTCCCTCCTTTCATCAGGGTTTAAATGTTGGCAATGCATTCACAGAGATGCTGCACAATATTTTGACATATTCTTAAAAAGCAACATCCATCAGCTGTTAATTCGAGCAACTCAAACCAGCTGCTGATAGACTTGTTTTTTTTTTTTAGCATTTTAGCATTTAAATCTACAATGTACCACAGATTTTGACATATTCTTAAAAAGCAACATCCATCAGCTGTTAATTCGAGCAACTCAAACCAGCTGCTGATAGACTTGTTTTTTTTTTTTGGTTGCAGCATTTTAGCATTTAAATCGGTTATAAACCAAGGAGACAGTGAAGGTCCTTTGGTGTAGAGAAAGCTGCCAGCCCTAAGAATCTAGACATCTTAGTTAAATACCCCTATTGACCCCCCATATAACGTTAGGTTAATTTTATGGTTCCATTGCTATTCTTTTCCAAATTTCTTTCTTAAATCACATCCAAGATGGTGGTCTCCAGCAGCTGTCTCAGTACCTTTTGAATGTCTACACACATGGGAAGCTTTACAAGTAAATAACACATATAAAATACATTAAATGCACATATAATCTTATGAGAAGATTTTTGTTGAAATGAACGGTCTGGCTACAGGGTCTCTTTAACCCATTTCTACTCACTTTAGGCATTTTGCCATGAAGTGGATACAGGCTTCAATGGGAATTTAGATCTGGGCACATTGTTGGCCACTTCCAGAACTCTCCAGCGCTTACTTTGCCATCCAGGTTGTCTTTTTGCACGTATGTTTGGGGTCATTTGTCTGATGGAAAGAACCAGGATCTTGGACGCAAACCCAGCTTTCTGAACACTGGGCCCTGTAGAGGTGGGTGTTGGATACATTTTATTTTGCCCAGCCCCCATACTCCATTAATACAATGGTTGGTTTTACATGATATATTTACCATTTAGGAGGAAATTGTTTTGCGGTATGAGGAGTGTATGAATAGAGGCTGGTATAAGTCCATGAGTAGAGGGTCTCTATACCCTTCACATAGCATATTTGAAGCCACCTATTTTTGGAGGTAACTTTTCATTTATAGATATTGATGTATGTATATGTTTATGGATATATTATGTGGCTTGCATCCCCTCCTTCCCCCCATTGGGTTTCCAGGGGGGGTACTGCTCCTCTCCTCCTTTTTGTTCTCTCTCCCCTTTTCCAGTGCACTTACAATATGATGCGCTATTATGCCAGAATGGAAAAATATGTTTTTGTGATTTTTTGATTGTTTGTATTTTTCTTATATCAGTAGTCAAATGTGTATATGCTGATGGCCCCTGAAGAAGTGGATTAAGTCCATGAAACACACTGAGCCTAA